GAGCAGGTTCAGCGCGGTGTGGCCCAGATGAAAGGGCTGGGGTTGGAGAGCCTTGCGGTGGGTTCTGTGATCTCGGGTTTTCCCACTTGAGAGGATCTCCAGAGGCAACCGCCTGCAGCCGCGGGCTGGTTCCCAGGCCGGCAGGCTCGGCATTAGTATGCTGGGCAGGAGGCACCCTCGGCCGGGGCTGCACAAAGGCCCTGCCTTTATTCGGGCAGGAATTGGATTTAGGTGCAGCTGCAGCAAAAAGGGTGCAAAGGACGGATGAAAAGGGAGATGGAGTTTGAGGGGAGGGGGCTCGGCGAGGTCCTGGTCTGGGTTTCAAAGGCTGAAGCTGCATCCTGGAGCTCCCAGCACAAACCAGTGAGGGAGTGGAAGCGGTTCCAGGCTGCCAGGGGATCCTCCCTCTCATCTCCAGGGAAAGTCAGGGAATGCTGCTCTGCTCCTGGGGAGGTGTCACCCTCCCACACGTCCACTGAAGGGCAGTTTTGGCCTGGAAACTGCTCAAGTGTTGGAGTCCAGAACAGCCCCGTGAGCTGGGGGGGAAGCTGCTGTGTCTTGTTGTGCAGGGCAGGTCAGTCCTCGGGAGACTCAGCGACTAATTTGAGATCAGCCTTCCCCAGACTGCTTGAAAGATCACCAGAGTGTCCCTGGGAGCACCAGGCCACTGCTCTGGGTTTGTTCCCTGGAAGGACACGTGCTCTGAGCAACACTCTGGTTCAGGCAGAGCAGGAGCTGGGGCTGGAGCAGCCCCTGGTCTCCCTGACCGAGATCCCCAGTGAAAACAGCACTGAGAGGCCCAAGGAAGTGCAGTCACCCCCTCGAGGAGGTTATGGCTAAAATCCTAAACCCAAGGCACATGAAACTAAATCAAAATCCAAGCTACTTTAAAAGTTGTTATTAATTTGTAGGACTTTGTGTGGCAGGTTCCCCTCTCTCCCCAGGAGCTCAGTTCCGCGCCGTCGGTTTTGGGCTGTGGAGGAATTTGGAGAGGGGATGAAACCCTCTGGTTTCCCCAGGAGGTTCCAGTGGTGAGGCTGGTGTGGTGTTGATCTAAACCCCTGATCTCGTGGCACTGCTGAGGAGCCCAGGACAGTGTCTGTGCCAGGTCAAAGGGGGTCCCCCCTCCTCGCTGGGGGGCACCCGGCCGCCTCTGGGTATTTTTAACTTGGCAGGCAGGAGGCACAGCAGCCTGGGGCATTGTTTGCTGAGGTTAAACAAATGTTTTGTTGGCAGATATGGTCTGTTCCAGCACCCACCCCCTGCCAGCGTTGCCCAATCGTCGTTTCTGCTCCGTGGCAGAGGTCACCAGCTGCTGGGGCAGCGTCAGACCAGCCCCAAACTGGCACTGCTGGCATCTCGGGGTAGATCCCAGTCCCTGCTCCGTCCAGGTTCCCAGTGAAGCTGTTTTCAGGTCTCTGTTTTTTGGCAAACTCGTTGCTCTTCTGGCAGTGGAGCTCCTGGTATCATCTGGGTCGTGTCAGGGCACAGACTCAGCAGGAGCAGCTGCTCTGGAGCCTCCTCTCACCACTCCACAGGTCGTTATTCCTGGAGACCTGTAGGCTTGGGAAGAAGTTGCTCAGGTGGAGCTTTGAGCAACCTGATCTGGTGGGAGATGTCCCTGCCCACGGCCTTCAAAGACCCTGCAGAGGCCCTTGTGGCCAGTGCAGTGACCAGCCTCACGTGGGGCTGGTTCCTCTTGGGCTGGATCACAAGGAGCATCTTCTGCTTCTGCTTCTCAGCACCTGCCCCTGGGAGGAGGCTCATGGATTCTGAGCTCGGTCAATCAGGCCCCAAATCAGAGCAAATTACAACCAAGAGGGAGGGGGGTGGAGCTCCCCAGAGCCTGGAGCTCCAGCGGGGGGTGACTGGCAGGACAGGGCAGCGATGGAGCTGGAGCTGCAGGTGGAGACTGGGCCTGGAGCCCCCCCTGTGCGGGCACTGCCAGGGCTCCCAGCGCTGCCCCGGGGGGCTCAGGGCAGAAACACTGGTGGAAGAAGATGGAAGAAGCAGCTGCTGGAAGTGAGGAGGAACTTTGCTGAGTGGAGCTGTGCACTGCTGAGCTGAGAGACCCCAGGGCTGTAGGTTTTAACCCTTTCTTTTCAGGGTGCTGGTCCTCAGCGTGGAGCCCCACACGGCTGTCTGCATTTGCCTTGTCCTCCTGTTGGTGCTCCCCTGTTCACAACCTTCCCTTCCTCCTTCCCTGGCCTCTGTCACCCTCCAGCTTTAGGAAGGTCAAAGTGGAAACACACATCTGATTTGTGTAGGGAGCCTGGGGTCACAAACAGAGACTTGGCACTTCCTTCCTTCTCCACAGGGAGCCTGGAACTGAGAGCTGCCATCCCGACACCCAGGGGCACGGAATGACGGGGGAGGAGCTGCTGTGGTGGACAACCCACGTTCCTGCACGTTCCCTAAGAGGTAGAGGGCTCGTTAAGAGGTGGAGGGCTCGTTAAGAGGTGGAGGCTCATTAAGAGGTCGCTGTTTAGGTGGCTGTGGAGTGCTGCTCGTCCTCCGTGGCTCTCAAACCACGGGAGCAGAGTGGTCAGCTCAGCAAACAGCCACGGTGACATCAGCCAGTGCCACTGGCAGCCACGTGACGTGGCCCCGAGCCCTCAGCCCCACGGCTGTCCCCTGGCAGGATTTGGGCACCCCGGGGAGCTGAGGCCATTGGCCACCCCCCCTCCTGAAGGCGTCTCTCCTTTCAGGCGCCGCCGGCCGGGGCGGGGGGGGCCCGGCCGGCGCCGCCCCGCGCCG